GCCGGCCAGCCGCCAGCCAGCCAGCCGCGCCCGAGGCCGGCCCGCGCCCCTCGTAGTAGGTTTCAAGAGCTCAGGCCGGCTCCCAGGTTTTCAAACAGTATCATACAGCACATCTTCCTCTTCGTCTAAACGTGCTGAATCCGACGCGCTCCTTCAAAATGCTCTACGACCAATACAGCGGCGTCAGGACGTTGCCCAAGTGTGTCAAGCGGCTTCTCGGGGTGAAAAAGCTGGGACTCCAGGGCGCCCTTCTCTCATGCTGTGGTGGTGACGTGGTTCGGACGCACTTCTCTGTCGCCCAGACACGAACGCACAACGATGACGGTGTCGTTATGGTCTTGCAGGGACGCCCAGCAGCCTGGCCAAGGACGGGCGAATGTTCCCGAGCCAGACCAGCTCCGTGACGGAGGCTGCGTCGGACGAGATGGACTGCGACCTCATGGACGAGCCGCAGCGAGTCACTCTGTAAGTACCGGGCCGCGGCCTCCTGCTCGCGAGACGAACATGGAGATATGTCACTTCGACGTAAATCTGACTCAGATCTGGGTCGAAATCGGCGAAATACAATATACAAAAACAGATCCCACTTCGTCTTCCTGTTCTCCTTCCGTTGCGACTGCCGCCTTGAGGAGCACTCCGACTAACCTCACTCTCTCTTTCTCTCTCTCTCCCTCCCTCCCGGACGCTCAGGCTGACGGAGGCCCACCGCAACGCCATCCGGGCCATCAGGAAGATCAAGTACTTTGTGGCGAGGAGAAAGTTCCAGCAGGCGAGGAAGCCGTACGACGTTCGGGACGTGATCGAGCAGTACAGCCAGGGCCACCTCAACATGATGGTCCGGATCAAGGTGAGTGGGGGAATAGGAGGGGTCAAGTTCAACTCGGGAGTAACGACCTTTCTGCTGATCACTGCCCCTCACTACCACTACTGACTGCGCGGTGCACGCCCGGCGCTGCCTGCACAGCCCGCACAGTACCCTTCTCATACGCACCAGCCCCGTCCGCGCAACCCCGTTGAGGCTCTCCTGAAACGACCCTCGCGCCGCGGCGCGTTCGCCTTTACACCCTTGCCGATAAACCCCGACCGACCCGACCCGGGCGACGGAACGGAACGGCCTGAGGCCTTGCAGTGCGGGCGGGCCGTGCCGGGGGCCGAGTCGCACCGGCACCCTCCTGGAGGGGGGACATCCGGGAGCTTCTGACCTGCAGCGTGAGAGAGGGAACAAGAGATCGGCAAGCTTCTGCCCTTCTACGATAGGGGAAGGAGTGATAGGGAGCCTGATGCTGAAGTATTCCACAGGCGCGGTTTTATGTTGGCAGGGGGCTAAGGATCGACCCCCCCCCCCCTGTTGGCCTAAATCGCCTCCTAGGGTAGTAGGTACCACGTATTGTACAAATTTTAGACGTTTTGTAAACGTTTAAATTCTGCACACATGGGCACACACAGTGCTATGCTGCTATCAATAGGAACCAAACCACGGTGTGCAGCTGCTATACTTTTTGGAAGTGTCGGAAGTTTAAACGCCAATTTACGTTAGCTCATAAAATGAAATACAACCTTGTGTGCCTGTTAAAGGTGCTGAATTTGAATGCCTCAAACGCACTGAAGGCACTAAAATGTTGCACCTTTTGGGGATTTTATTGCCTTTCCTATAGGAAATCTTATCCCATATATGGGATGCGAATCTTTTAGTGCTTCTGTAATGGCACGAAAGCACCCCAAGAAGAGTGTTGATTCCATAACCTTTGTTTATCCAGTGTACGCAATAGCATGTTTAAAGAAGGTACACGAAGCTGTGCGGGGCGAATCCCCCCCCCCCTCCCTCCCTCTTTGCGCTGGCTCTTGGCGATAGGGGTTGGGGCGAAGTACGTGCACACTGTCTCTGACAGCCGTTAACGCGGCGACAAGGTCGGGGGCTGTGCGCTGCGCACACCCAGAGTTGATCCCGGCCAGAGTGATGGTAAAGACAATGCTGTGCGGCTCCCAATGTATGCATCTTGCACACGAAACTACACTGTAAATCCAAGGTGTCCAGAAGGTTGTCGACAAAGTCTCCAAAGTGGACTGGGTCGGGCTTCATACTTACAGTGTTGGTACTGCGCTCTACTGGGTCACTCTCTCCGTCCCTGTCACACTCGTTGCTGTCCCTGTCACAATCTGCTTACTTCGAGACGACAAGGCGGCTGTCCGCAAAATGACTTCTAACTGAGGAATAAAACTGTTGATTCGCCTGAGGAAGCAGAGTGGTATAGCAGCGCAGAGACTGGGAAAGGGGGGGGGGGGGCTGTCAGACTCAAACTTTCCTCTTCCGACCGGGGCAAGTTAGCGAGAGCTGCGGGCCGGGGAGAAACCCTGACCAGCCACAACTTTCAAACTGTCACCCACTCAAGCAAGGTACATCGCGTCGTGCTCCACCTCTTGCAGCCGCGCAACGCCACGTCCCGCAAGGGAGGGGCGAGTCCATTGAATTAGGGACGTCGGCACTGCTGCGGGGACAATAGACCAACTTTAAGATAAATCCGCGAAATCCCCCACCCCCTCCTCCCTTCTCTTTACTCTTCAGCATCCCCCGCCCTGTGCTCCGCGGCGACGCTCGCGGCGGCCAGGCGAAGGCGACGCAGGATGAAAGCCTCTCCCTTGTTCCAGGAGCTGCAGCGGCGTCTGGACCAGACGCTGGGAAAGCCGGGCAGCTACCTGGGCGGATTCGACCGGGCGGGGAACCAGCTCAAGCCCATGACCATCGGGGCTAGGCTCTTTCGACTGGAGCAGCAGGTGAGTCAGCAAAGGGGGTGGTGGTGGTGGTGGTGGTGGTGGTGTGGGTGGTTAGTTTTCATGCAAAGAATTGGAGAGACTTTACAAGAGAGGTCTTGGCATTTATTTGTAAAATTGCCAAAGTCTGTAAAATTACAACACTAGTGAAATACATTGCGGAGCTTTTACGGTAATTATGTTCCCACATTATCCCGCTAAAGTAAATTTTACAGGGGTATTGTGTAAGAACTTTTACCTTAGAAGTAGGGTAAACTCTACCCCTCATGAGCAAAACCACTGAGCGGTTGTTCGAAGCGCCAAGAGGGTGAGCGGTTGTTCCCAGCCGCGGAGGCGCTGAGCGGTTTTTTTTTATGGGGTATCGAAAAGTGTGACAACCCTAAAAGGTGCGTGAAAAGAAGGATGTATAGAGATTTTTCTTTAGTTCTTTTTTACTGACGGTTTTGCTCTCGGTCACTCTCTCCTTTACTTTCCTACCAGAGTATATTTAAGGAGTTCAACCTCGGGCCGGTAGTGCTGCAAACTCAGCAGGCTACTCGGTGTGAAAACGAATGCAGAGATGGGTACACTGTCCTGTGTGTGAGGGCCACGCCACGGACGACTAACAGTGCCTACTCGCTCCACCCGTAAGGCGCCATGGCCCTGACGCACGGTACTTGTGTGAGTCGCGGGGAGAGTCGTGTGGTGCTCGGGGCCGCCCGGTGGTCTCGGGGTAGGCCAGCCCGCCGTGCGGCTGAGCGTCGCGGGACTGCCTACCCGCCAGGCGCTAACCCCCTGCCGCCCTTGTCCACAGCTCACCGGCGTGGAGAGGAAGACAGACTCTATCCTCGCGCTGATGCAGATGCTGGCGCAGAAGCACGCCATACCGCTGCCGTCGCCACGCTCGCCCACGCCGAGGGAAGAGCTGGAGTCGCGGAACACATAAGGCTGTCAATGTCAACGCCGTGCGCCACGCTGCACCGGTTGTTTACCTAACTCTCCTTCTTCTGATCTCAAAGCACCTAACGGTGTGTTTTTTACCCTTGATAGAAGGGTGATAAGAATTTATCGGATGCTGTTATGTGCGTTTACTTTAATCGACTAATAGCACCACAAGATGCACGGTTCTTAAGCTTTAACTAAGTAAGGTCTCCTATTCCATGACAGTAGAAACATTATGCTATGCTCAAACGGCCTCCTCCTTTATCACGAAGAGCACGAAATTGTGAGTCGCATTGCAAGATGAGGTCGTCTTGTTATATGCACAACATTTTGTTATTAGATTAAGTACATCAAAAAGGAAAACAACGAACAAAGGTCAGTACGATTTATTTTGACCTCCTTTCTGTCGTATTTGAACGCTATGTTCTCTATCACTAACTTTTTTAAGCTACACCACTTTCATATTCCATATTTTTCTGTGAATCTCTTGATATATCGTGGTTAACTTGAGGTGACACCACGAGGTATACTCTAGTAACTAATAATCTGCTGTGAGTTCATTCTTATTATAATTATTAATATTGTTAAAGAGAT